CACCCGCCTCCCTCTCCCTGTTCACCCCCCCGCCCCGTCCCCTGCCACCCAGCAGCTCCCACCCCAGGGGAAGGGATGGAAAAGCGAGAGCAGCTCAGGGCCCTGCGGGGCTGGAAGCCGGGGAGGAGCTCGCAGCACCAGTGGATGCTCGAGAGGTTTCTCACGCAAAGCTCGGGTGGGGGGGGGCGCGTTTAGTGGTCAGGGGGAAGCCGCCGGCCTTCCCCCAGCTCCGAGTGTTTGAGAAGGAGCACGCGAGACGCTCGCTAATGGCTAAAGGTTAATTAACGCCCTGCGCTCTGCTGGAGGCAGGTGCCACCGCGGGCTCCTGCGCTGCGTCGCCTGGGAGCGCAGGGTTGAGTTTGGGCAGGGGACAGATACAGCCCCCCCGCCGCCGCACCCAGTGCCGCAGCTCTACGTGCGAGCGGAGCTGCATCCTCCTCGTTTGCCATGGCAACGCGCGGGCGTCCACGGCTGCCACCAGCACCTGGATGTGGACGGAGGCTGCTGGGTGAAGCGTGAGCTGCCAGGCCAGCTGCCGCTGAACTTAGGCAGGGTTTTAAATTTTAAGGGCTGAGGCTCTGGCAGACAGGATCTCCCCTCCCGGAAGGTCACGGGAGGATGGAGATGGTGTCAGGGAAGCTGTGCGCGGCCAAGGGACCTCGAGGAGCTCCCTGCAAGGCTGCTCTGGTGGGATGTAGGTGGGAAAGCGGCTGGTGCTGCCTGTCCCACTCTTGGGGCGGGTGACAGCAGCTGGAGGGACCCTGGGGACTGTCCGTGGCCTTGGCACGAACCAAGGGCAGCAGCTGCAGCCAAGGCGCCCGAGAGCCGGACGGCTGGAAGGGGCTTTGCGGGCGTCAGGAGGGGTCGGGGCAAGCGGAGCCGGGCAGAGCACGGTCCCCGCTGCAAAGGGACGGGAGGAAGAGCTGGTGCTTCCACACACAGACCCAAACCAGGGAGAGCAGCAAGGGGTGGGGGGTTACGGTGACAACCAGGGGCTGCCCCCCGCACAGTCCGCGTGGAGTTGAGCTCCTGGGGACTTGGATGCCCCTCTCGACCCGGCGGCAGCATCTGCCAGCACGGAGGAGCTGGGAGAGGAGCAAGAGGGGCACAAGATGCCCGGGCAAAAGCGCTGGAGAACGAACGCTGCCGGGCTTCCACGCTGCAGAGCCCCCGCAGCCTCCTCCGGCGGGAGGGAGGTCACGGCAACGCCACGCGCGGAGAGATGAGAAGCTACTCACGTTGCTGATCTGATCCTGAGTCTTTTTGATTCTCTGCAGCTCCGGGGTGTCAGCCACCACGCTAAAGCCTTTCCCCTTGTTCTTCTCAAACTCCTCCTTGTAGCGAATCTGGGGACAAACATGAAAAAACAGATTGAAACACGGGGGAAAGCTGGTGTGCACAGCAGCTGGGTTCAACAACAGCTCCTCACCGTGACCCACGCGCTGCGTGAGATGCAGCAGCTTTCTAACGGGGCCTCTGCCTTGCTCGGGAGACCCCCCAGCGTACCCAGAAATAGCAAAAGGGGGTACTGCCAAGAGCTGCAGCACCCAGACAACTTCCTATGCATCTGCTGGTCTCGCTTCTCTCTCAGCGCGGGCTGAGGTAACTCAGATTTACTCGGAATTTCCTGTGGGCTACCAGCGCACCCCAGAGCAACTGACCCACGGCGAGCTGGAGCCCGCTGAAGGGCCCCGAGGACTGGACGAGCGACACCCCAACAAAAGCACGTCCACCTCAGGGGCCGTTCGGCTGCTCCGGGAAGGAATACACCCAGACGACCGTAACAAAACCAGAGGGCGGAGGCTGGCAAAACAAGCATCCTCATTTCTGTTTGCCAGACACTGACATCAGCATCCCTTCCCATCACACCCAGGAGCTGAACAGTCCCCGTTTTCTGTTGTGCTGGTTTTTGTTGTGCCTTTTTTTTTTTTTTTTTTTTTTAATATAACTCTACACAGCTTTAAGACCGGGGTTTCCAGCTCTCCCAGGAGGGAGCTAACACAGAATCCCAGAATCATTCAGGTTGGAGAAGCCCCTCGGGATCATCGAGTCCAACCCTCAGCCCGACTCTACAAAGTTCTCCCCTACCCCACATCCCCCCACAGCTCATCCAAACGACCCCTAAATTTTCCCCCCCTCCCTGGGCAGCCTGTTCCACTCTCTGACCGCTCTCGCTGGGAAACATTTTCTCCTCCTGCCCAGTCTGACCCTCCCCTGTTGCAGTTTCAAGCCGTTCCCTCTTGTTCTGTCACTAATTCCCCGTGAGCAGAGCCCAGCCCCAGCCTCTCCGCATCGTCCTTCCAGGGGGCTGCAGAGTGACGAGGTCTCACGGCGAGAGCCCAGACGAGCTCCCAGCCCTCAGCAGCCTCAGCTCTGGGGGCTGCTGGTCCCACCCTGGTCCCCGCTGGCCCCGCTCTGCGCAGGACGCTGCTCCCACCCGCCCATGTCTCCCAGAAGCAGAAGCAGCTTCTGCAGAGGCTGAAACCCAACCGCTGCCTCGATGGCTCCAACGGGGAAGGAAACAGCACCCAGCTGCCTGGCCCGCCCCAACACAGCAGCTTTGCTGACTTTCAGATCTGAGCGGCCAGAAAGATGCCCCGTTTTCATGGAGGGGGGGGAGCAGACGTGCAGAGAGAGACCCCCCCAACCTCCTCCATCCTCTTTGCGGGGATCTGACCCTCCTCCAATGACTGTCAGAGCTGCCTCTGCCCTTCTGGGAAGCAAAGAGCCTCCCGGGGATTCACCTCCCCGGTCCCTGCAGGCAGATGTGTCTTGTCCCCGCAGCGGGAAGGTCACCACCGCCTCTCACGGAGCAGATCAAACCTGGGCCCGGCGGCTCGGCTCTGCCTGTGCAGCGTGGGGCCGATGCCCACCCCCTCGGGCCGGGGGGAGGCTGCGGGCAGCGGGACAGAGGTGCTGGGGGTGTGAGGAGCAGAGCAGGAGCCCTCTTTGACGGAGCAGGCCGGGAGAGCAGCCGCCGCATCCCTCCCCGAGCGAGGGAAATGCTCAGCCCAGCACACGCTGGTGTCAGGCAGCTTCCCGTAACCCTTCCCGTCCCGCCGCAGGACGGCAGCCCGCCAGACAGACGGACAGTGGGTCGGGAAGCCGGGCTGGCCCCACAGACAGCGAGCTCGCAGGATGAGGGCCTCGCGTGCTGCGCCAAGATAAAGCTCGGACGCAGAGAACCGGCAGCACGGCGGAGGGGGCGGAATAAAGCTGATTTCTCCCCGACACACGCTCCTACAGAGACACTCCTTCAGACCTCACAGATTTGCCTCCCATCCAGACAGCGCGTCCAGCTGGGCCTGGAAACACCTTTCAGGAAAAAGCTGCCAAACATGTGATAATATCTTCTGGAGAAGCCAAGACACACCTCTGATGCCATCTGGGCTCTCCGGTGGCCTTGCCTGGCTCCAGCGCCGGCCCTGGCACAGCAGGCAGGGGCAGGCAGCATTGGGGCCACAGTGATGCGCCCAGGTCAGACCCCCCCGGGGCTGGAGGCAGCCAGGGCAGCACGGAGCAGCGGCTCAGAAACGGGAAACAAGAGCTATCCAGGGGAAGTCAGACACGGCGGTTTCCATTTTGCAGAGGCTCTGGCCAGCTCCGCGCAGCCCCTGCCCCGGCTGGCCTGGGGCGGCTCGGGGGGGGCCGCAGCGCCCGCTGCTCCGAGGGTTTTGTCGGGAGCGGGAAGGGATCAGCCGGCAGCTCTGCGCTGGGTGCTGGCAGGCTCACAGGAGCTCGGTGTGGGCTGCAGGGGGGAGTGGTGTGGGTACCCCAGCTGGCAGACACAACATTTCCTCTCCCCGTCCTGCGAACCAGGAGAAATGCAAGCGTTGGAAGCACAGCCCCTACACCTTCAGCACAGCCACGGGGGGTGACAGAAACCCTCACGCAGATGGTACGATCTACGAGCCACGTGAAATTTCTAACTCTGATGTGACATGAGAAAGCAAAGGCTTAATGGACCGGGCTGCAGCAGCCACGCTGGGAGGATATTAATACAACCGAGAAGCCAGAGCACCGAGGACACGAGACCAGTTCCAAGGCAGAAGCCTCCTTTTGCTGGAAACAATAAGAAGGAGAAAAAAAAAAACAACCCAACTTTTGCTAGCTGTGGTAGGGAACGTATCTCGAACATCACCCATGAGGAAGGAGCAGCCTCGAGGTGTTAACCACGGGGCACGAGGAACCGAGGGTTTAACAGAGCCGTGACATAAAACCGATGACGCAGACCGGGAGCGGGGATCAGGAGGGGGTGAGTCAGCCCCAGCGCCAGGCGGGCAGAGGGGCCGTGCTTGTCCTTTATCTGCTCTGCTTGCAGTACAGGCTGCGTTCCCTGGGAGCTCTGCAGCCTGGGGTGGGATGCTGGCCCTGCCGTTGTGCCTGGAGATGCCGCTCGGGGGGTTTATCCCGCAGCCTCCTGCCCAGCTGGCCCCGAGGAGGGGGCACCGGGCGCCCACGCTGCCTGCAAACACACAAGTTGATGAGCTGTAAGAAATCCAGGCTAGAAAGATAAAGAGTCACCGAGGGAGAAACTAATCACAAGGCTAAGCAGTTCCTTTTGAGAAGTTCTGTATTTTCGCTCTCCTAAATCCCACCCCGTCCACCTTCCTTGGGTTTTTTTACCTCTCTAACTTCCAGGATACAGGAACTTGGCCCTAAAAAAAAAAAAAAAGCCATATGGAGATGCCTGACTGCAGGGCGGGGGGGCCCGACCCAGGGGCGAACCCAACCCTGGAGTCGTGGGGGAAGATGCGGGTACGTGGGGGCAGGTCTCCCCCAAAACACACGTCCAAGGCTGGCGCTCCCAGCACGCCCGGCCACGGAAACCAGAGCGTGACACGAGCACTGGGGCGATGCTGGGAGGAAGCAAGGGAGGTCATGGGGCAGGTGTTGTCCCCACGCTCAGCAGGGGAACGGCAATTTAACAGGATCCGCGGCCCTTCCTGGCACAGGAGCGGCCAGGTCCTGCCGGGCTGCAGCCAGAGTCAGGGCTGAGCGAAAAGGCCACAACGGAGGGAGGAAAAGTTCAGACAAGGCACCTTTCAGCTGCTCCCTGGCCTTACACGGGCGTGGGGTTGTGCAGGCAGGAGTCTGGGGAGGGGGGAGAGGTGACCCAAGACCCCCGGCCACGGGGGAATCCCACCGCCAGCACAGGCTGCGCTTGGAGAGGCACGAGTCCGTGCTCCAGCCACGCTGCCGAGGTCCTGCTCCCTTCGCTCCCTCAGAAACTAGAGCGCAGGTGACCCTGGGTGACAAAGAGGGACAGAAACGCACGGTTCGGTACATCCCGCCGAGCTTTCACAGGGCACCAGCTCAGCGCTGTGCGAAGGGCTGTGAAGATCCATCGCTCCTGCCCCAGCTGCCAACACACCCCCCCACTCCTGTCACTCCGCTCGTGGCCAAGTTTCAGCTACATGGATGGAAGAGCTGCGTGAGGCAGACAGCGCCACATCCACGCTTCTTCCCATTGTAAGAAAACGGGATCCACAATTCACAGAACCCCAGAATCATCTGGGTTGGAAAAGCCCCTGAAGCTCCTCCAGCCCAACCATGACCCTCCCCCTGACCCTTCCCAACTCCCCCAGATCCCTCAGCGCTGGCTCAGCCCGACTCTTCAACCCCCCCAGGGATCCCGGGGACTCCCCCCTGCCCTGGGCAGCCCATTCCAACGCCCAACAGCCCCTTCTGCACAGAAATCCTTCCTCAGAGCCAGCCTGACCC